AATGATAAAATAAAATAGATGTGGATGAAAATAAATTGAACGAACAATATAACTATCAAATGAATATATGGAGAATGTTGCATGTGAACAATACATGAAAGTTGGTGATCTTCGATTGATGATAATAAAACATCTTGTAATAGAAAAGTTTTATTTGTAAACAACATTGATCAAATCTATTAACAAAATGATTCGATTTATATAAGGTATACAAGATATACAATTCCTTCTTTTTCAATCTTCAATGTTGTCTGACGGAATATATCATTTTATATATGATAAACATGTTCATCATCCGTCGGTTATGTTCAATGCTGTTTTCTCTCCGTCTATATAAGATAATGGTCTGGAAACAGTCAGATAAGAAATAATAAGTCGACATATTCGTTCAATAATTTTGATAATAGAGCAGAAGAAAATGTTTTTAAAAACAATATCAGTTTGTTTTTTTTCTTCTATTTAGATAGTTTTTCCTTCACTTCTCAAATACGTTGTTGTAACTTTTTCTAATTCTTATCTCAATGAAAATTCATCAAAAGTCATCTTTCCTATTAACATATGCATTAGAATTAATCAAGATTGAATTATATACTTATTAGAATATCTTCAGATAAATTTATTTCAAGAAAAAATATTAAGTGTACAAATTCTCTAATTATAAAAATGGATCAAATTTCACTAGGCAAAAGTCCTCTATAAGCTTTATATGCTGCAATAGCGAGTCCAGCAAATATTAAAGAAACACTAATCACTTGTATTATTATAAGATGTCGACAATAATAAAGTAGTTGACAAATTTCTATATCATCACTTAATCGATCGAATAATTGTAATTGTATATATTCACAAACTGCTCTAGAGCATTTATCCATAATCATTGTTAATAAACACAATACAAGTAAACCAAATGGAAATTTGGTAACGGAATCAAAAAAGACGATACTGTTTACATTCTGGAGGTATATGATTAAAAAAAAACATATACGATAAATATACTCATGTTGTAATACATAATTTTTCATGTAAAGCTGATTTAATGTTGGATTTGTTTTTCTTCTGATTGCATTAGTTTTCACGAAGGTCAATAACGTTCGTAAAATTATTATAACAACAATAGTAATAGATAAATAAATAAAAAGCATCCATCTGATCCCAGTATGAAAGAAATGTAATCGGTTTAGAACTTGATTGTATAATTCCTACAAATAAAAATATATTCAATTGTTGCTATCTTGCATAATAATCTTTCTACGTACCATCATGAAGAAAATTATGGATAAAATGACTAGATATGTATAATTCAAGTCATTTTATCGTTTGTTCGATTTGAAAAAAAAAAGAGAACCGACAAAAGCACGTTGTTTTGTTGACATCGTGAATAGAACGATCGATTCTATATTAGTAATCTTTACAAATGTCCTTACAAGATATTTTTAATCGTCAATTCGACCTGTATAATTTAAAAATAATTAATATCTTTAAGAAAAGTATTGAGAGACATGATAAACTCAAAATATGTCAATTTAACACGTCATTTTGCAAATATATAAAATAGATCGAGATTTTTTTCTGATTAACTATACCAATTTTGTTCAGCAATACTCACAAGCTGCTCCAAGTTTTCCTCAACAGCAATATCTTTTCGTTTATTCGATTTTTTTTCTATTGATAAATGACATCTTTGATCGAAATATTGCCAATCAATAGAAATTTCAGATACAAAAAACGACTAAATATTCCATATGAAACCTTATTGTTAGTTATAGAAATAGTTGATGAATTGATTTTGAAGAGAAATTAGATTGAAGTTTAAATATTTATTGATAATGAGATATATTTATTATTTATTTGATTATTATTAGCAAAAATTATTACAGTAAACAAAAATACTTTATCTTTTTTTGAATATTAATTTTTTATATTTATTTAGATAACACTTTTCAATCTATCAACATAAAAACAAGTTTTTTGTTCTGAAGAAAAATTTAATTTACTTCTTCATTTTTAATCGACTGCAATTAATCAAGTAAGAAAAAGACATTGTTTTTTTTCTAATGAATCATAATTATATTTAGACGAATTTTCAATGTTTATGTAATATGCAGGGCTCTCGATTGTTTTCAAGAGTGGTTGGGAAGAGATGGGACTAATCATTTTTCGCAAACATACCGGAAAATTGCTCTGTACTCCCACCCTACCCCGAGTGCCTCACAGACAGATAATAGAAAAATTTCGTAGACACACAGAAAAAGTGGAAGGAACTAGCTCCGGCAGCCTCTCCCGCATTGAGAGCCTTGGTAATATGTTAGATGACCAATATGAAACATTATCATATATACATAATTTCTTTTTGCTTTGCTGCTTTTTTAGCTATTGCTTATTTTTTTTATCATATATTTCTTTTATTCTCTGCGCAATATTATCAAAATTGGTTTTTTCTGATATATATTTTATGTTGTTTCTTAAAATTACATATTTCTTTTTCTTTTCTAATAGGGTCCCGTGGTGCTCATTATGTATGTTTTCTGAAAGAAGAAGAGACAAAATAATATTTTTTTTAATAAAAAAAGGATTACTGTTCACTAGCTTGCTTATTGTCAATCCTAAAACGATCGACAAATGCATGCATGAAAGAAAATTTTTATTTCTAGACAAATAGATTTATTTTTTTCTGGGATCGAGCCGACAAGGGCTCAGTCTCATTTCAGGTATTTTATTGTTTTATTGAAATATTAAATAAATTGTGTTGATAAAGAATATTATTGTTTGAATAATTGTTTATTTATTTGTATTATTGTTTGTTTATAAGTGAGAATATATATATAAATGTTTTGAAATATTTGTTTTTTTTTCTTTATTTTGGACATGGAGATTTTAACTAATATATTTAATTTCTATAATAAATTTTCGTTACATTTATTTAATTTAGTTTTCAAGCAGGAATATTCGGACATTGTCTATAATAAAATAAATTTTATTTTTATTTATTTTTTTAAGAGTGGGACATCGGGACATTGATTATAATAAATAAATTTTAGTTTTATTTGTATTATTGCTTTCAAGATATATATTCATTGATCTCATATACACCAGATTTGAAACATTTAAATGTTGAATCACCACCGCCGTATACAGACGAAAAATCGATCAATATGATTAATATCAAATTAAAAGAATTATATCTAAAATTCACTAAGGATGAACGAATGAATTATCCATCGTTCAATGAATATATCTATTATAATTCATTAATAATTCTTACAAAGATGTTTACATCATCATTAATTTGTTTATCAATCAATTTAGTTGATGCATTTATCAGAGATATAGATGATATTCCATTTTAATTGTCAAAAACTTCAAATGATCGAACTAAAACAATTTCATCTCTATGCGAAATATACTGAAAGCCAAATAACTAAACAAAATATTTTCATAGGATTTGAAAATCAATATTGGTTTGATCATAATTGGTTCTTTCGAATGCATGGAAATTATTTGTATACATTACCATTTCATTTTAATTATCTTCATGAATTTTATCAAGGTTCAATCAAATAATTATAATTTTCTTTTAAATAATCCTCGAATCAATGGTATTGATTTACCCGAACCATCGAAATATAATTCAAATTTCATAAAAGAACTAAAAATGAAAATGCCTAAATTAACTTTCATCAAATTTATTCCATTTAATTTAAATGGAGTGAACGAAAGAGAACAAATTCATGATGTCACATTAGATAATGAGAGAACGATTAAATACATAAAAGAATCTCTTGAAAACGGAAAAGAATGGTTAATTAATAGAATACCAAACTTAACACATTTGATTTTATTTTCTATAGAATTTCCTTTAATAGATAATGAATTAATTAAAATATTTTGTGGAAGAATTCAACGATTGGATATTGATGTATTTTCTAGTCTTGAAGAATTAGCAGAAAGAAATTATATTTATTTTTTCAATCTTCAACATATAAGTTTTAGACTGCATTATCTTTGGAGAGGACCTGAAGGATATGCAAATATTATCATGAATCTGTTGAACAATTTTCAAAATTTAAAAGCTTTGATCGAATGAATCAATCTCATGTAATTCGTGATAAGGATAAAACACTACTAACTAATATTACTAAATGTTTACATAAGAAACAAATTGAGAAAAACTATCAAATGAAATATTTGTATCAATATTTATTATTTTTAAAACAAGAATATGACGATGGTATCATTCAAAATGATGGACTTCTATCCACATTGAGACAATAGTTATTTTTTTTCAGCAAAAATTAGAATGAAGAAAAAAATGTTGTATTTTTTTTTTTCACCGCATATCCATGTACTAAAAAAAACCATATAAACATGAGTTTCATTCGTCACTATTTAATTGAGAATAAATTTTATTTTAATAAAATATTTGAAATCATTTTAAAATGTTTAGTTTGTTGTTTAAACAAAAAATAAATATCTTTTCTAGAACACATTTACTTTGTCAATCAATATGTATATCACATAAACAATTGAATTAAGAACATCATGGTTTGATGGTTTACCTGCTGAATTTTTTTTACAATATTTGATTATTTATCTTCGAACGATATTCTTCTTCAGTCAACGATTAAAGAATTTATTATAATAAAATCAACGTTATTTAAACTATTTAGAACTGCAAACAACAAATTTCGATGTATAGATTGCTTCATAAATTATTCATACGATTCCAATATTTTTATTATCCATCATTGTCTAATTTGTATTTTTATTTTTATCAAAGATTTTCAGAAATCATTTTTGTATGTTAAAAAGAACGAGAAAAGAATGCGTATGACTTTTATTATTATTATTCTTATCTTTATGAAAGTATTCGCAAAAAAAAGGGTAAAGTTTATTTTTGTCGATAAATTTTAACATCGACATAGCTTTAAGTTAAACTGAAGTAACAGATGGAAGTAAATTTTGAAAGAGTTTCTTTTATTCTAGAAATTGATATAATCAGAATGACAGTGGATATTCATAATATTGTTGGAATTCATCGTCTTCATACGAGTCAAAAAGGTTATTCAAAAACATTGTTCTTCAAAATATATTCGCAATGATCTTATTGGCAACGTAAACGGCATTTGATTATCTTATTTGGGTTCATTTAGCAGATGCACTAGACTTCGGTGTTGCACTTTTATGCTGGCTTTGGATATTTCCAATAACATTTCCTGAAGCAAATCAATGGCATTTTAAATGGGTATCGATAGTATTTCTTTATAATATAGCTTGTGAATTTATTATTTATTCATTTTGGCATTGGATAACTCATGGACGTACAAGTCCATATCTACAAGGAGCATTTCATGAAAAGAAATTTAATCCGATAAATTCATACGAAGAAAAAGGTTAACATCATTTATCGTAATATTCACAACACTTGGATGGTTACAATCAGTTTTTTTTCAATGTGTTTTTATGTCGTTATGGCCTAGTAGTCAATTAATCTATTATAATGACTTTTGGTCTTGTCTATTCTTCTCAATTATTATTTTATCGATTGTTATATATTGGAAAGCATTCCATTTCTATGTGGTAAATACAAATATTAATAATTATTTATAAAATTTATTTGATTTTTCTAGATTCATCGTATCACGCATCTATGGTGGTCTGTTCAAAATAGTTTCCGCGAAGGTGATATTGGCGCATTTCTTTATCGTTATTTTCATAGTCTTCATCATCAAAGTCGTAATCCTGGTCCATGGTCTGGTTTATCAATGCATCCAGTTGAGCATTTTCTTTATTATACACGTGCTTATTTTTCTCTTCTTTTTTCATGTCATCCACTTCATTTTCTTTATGTTAAATTTAATGTAGACATTTCACCAATTAGTGGTCATGATGGTTATGATGATCCAGTCGGTGGTTCAGCTTTTCATTATTTACATCATGTCTCTTTCAATTGTAATTATGGAGGATCTCTAATTAATTTTGATTATCTATTTGGTACATACAAAGAATTCGTTAAGAAATCCATCAATAAATAAGGCATATTCACTAGGACAGATAGAAAAAGCAATTGTTTTTTCTTTACATGTAATTTTATCAAGTCAATGTCCTATGTTATTTAAAATAAATCTTCATTGAATAATTTTAGGAGAAGATTAATTGTAAAATGAGAATGTGTCTTTTTTAAGTTCAATATACTCTTTGTCAAATACAATTAGTAATGAGTATTGAAGTTAATTTATATAAAACAAGTTGCTTCTACTTGGTGATGAGCTCAAAGGAATAACGATATTTTCAAAAAAAGTTTTCAATTTTCACAATTTTGTTACAGTCTGACATGCATCTGATAATTTTGGCACGCTGAAGCCTTTTGAAATCTTAACACAGCATGAAACTGCCTTCTAGCTAAAATCTGGTTGGCAATCTTTCATTAATCAGAACTGGTGAATCAGCTATTTTGTAGCCAGCTTCTATCCATTAAGCAAATAAGATACATTAATGACAAAAATCACATTTACTATCAAATTTATATTGCCTCAAATATTTCCCAACACCTGCATATCCATGTACTCTGAACTGAACAAAATGCGCCAGTATATCAATTGACAACTGATGAGTCTATAGATATTTTTTTACGTGTTATTGAATGTAGCATTAAATACTGTACATAAGAACAAAATGAGCAAGGTATGAATTTCGCATAACCAAGAAGTTCACAATAATAAAAAACACTGATCAAATTTACTTAGCTATTCGTTCAATCTCGAGCAAATGATACTGCTGGACAAAGAATAGTCTATATGACTAGATGCTTTCGAGTATGTACCATCCCAATATGACTGTTAAATTCTAGAGAAAAACCTGTTTTAAACATTGTCGATTTCGTCTAGCTACATCAATAAGAACGAAATGATGTTTTTGTTATTTTTCTATGAAAGTGATGTAAATAGTCTAACTTATGTGAGAAGAAAAACCTTGACCATTTTGCCGATTCTTCTTCATCATTCTGACCAAATCGGATTTCTAAAACTGCGTAAAAAAAGAGAAATAAAATATTTATTTGATATATTCAATAGTTTTTAAACCATAACTTCTTTCTTTCTTTCTTTATTATAAGACTGATTAGAACTTAATTTTCGTTTGACTTTGTTCATATTTCTATTTGAAAATTCAATATGATCTAAAAGAAATCTAGATGATATTGTAAACAAATGTTTAGTTATTCATTGTTAACGAAATCGAATGACTGGATATCGATCCATAGTTAACAGGACAAGGGATCACATCCTATTCTTTATTTCCTTTCGATACAGAAAATATCTATTATTCTTTTCTTTCGTGTATATGAAAAAATAGTTTATTTGTTCGAACGTTAAAACTTTTTTGTGTACTCAAAAAGTGAGTACACTCTAGAATCGGTCAATGTGTCCGTCCGGCCGTTTACACGATAACTTTTGAAAGAAGAGTCCGATCGCGATGAAATTTTCTACACAGTTTTGTCCCAACAAGATCTCGGCCGAGTTCAAAGATGAGAACGATTGGCCGAGCCATTGCTGAGTTATTGCAAAAATAGTCATTTTTTCCCGTGCTTCTCTATGAGAAGATCGACCCTTCTCTGTTTTCGTAAAAAACTTTTCCTATCATAGTCAAATAAAACCCCAACTATTATATACCATTCGATAGAGAATTTCACGAGCTACAAAATGGTATATAAAACATAAAGAAACAAGAAAGCTAACTCGCCTATTGCAAAGATAATTAATCGGAATTCGGTTCTGTTTTTGTCCACGCTCTATGTGATCCACAATTAGAGTTCTATCTTCTCATCACAGAGATGATAGTTCGAGGTTTTCTAGAATGGAGAACTCGAATCTATGTTCCATTCGCCTCGAAATCTCATTGGTTGAGCAGTGACCAATAGAAATCAAGTTATAGGAAAAACGAGTTTCTTAGGGTAAATCAAGGTGAAGAGTTCAAATCTGAGCTGTATTTGTCTCCAAATCGTATTGGCTGAGCAATAGCCAGTAGAAATTAGGTGTTTACAGAAAGGGCTTGCCAGAACAATTTTGATGTCCACACATTCTAGGGTGACTCATCTGTCTAATTCACTTTTTGAAGTACACATAACTCTCGGATTTAAATCCGAGGTTTCCACATTTATTTAATAGTTTAAATCCATCTGGAATATGTTCAATAGGTACAAGAGCTAATCCCATAAATGTACGTAATAAATGACATAATTCTGGATCGCTTTCATATAATTTCATCAAGCCAATTTCTTGAATATTTCGATAGCAAGCCTGACACATGTGGAACCAGCATCCAGTAATACTTGTGTCAGGTAACTAAGTCACATTAACATAGAAGAATAGATATTTTTGAATGCTATGAGATATTGAAAAAAATTACGTACTTCTGTTTGAACAGCATTCATAAATGCTCTTTCGAAATCATAAACAATTTTAGTTGGTTTTAAATCGATACCTTTTTTACCACCTATTCTTTTCAAACATCGAAAAATGGCTTCGTACGTTTCCTGTTTTCTATTCGATGTTAGTATAAAACAAACAGGAATGGCTAAAAATAATGAGAAAGCGAAATGAAAAAACATTTTATTTATCATTGGCAACATTATCACATACAGTGCGAACATATCTCTCTCCTTCTCTCTTGTCTTATCTAATTCATGTGCATTCTTTCGTCTCTTTAGCCTATATACATATATATAGGTGTATATCATGTTTGCTTCTCTGTCATTTTCTTTCTGTTCTCTCTTATATCTTCATTCCATTAGTTGAAAAGAAAAAGGAGATTTATACCTTCGCCATTTTGTATCCCATGTAATACATATAGCTGCTTAAATAGCTTTGGTGAAATCTTAAATGTGTCGTCAGCAAATAATACATCTGAACCATATAAGACATTTAACTGTTCATCAGAAGCAAATACCATTAGACGACCTCCATAAATGGTTTTTCGTTTATCATAGATAAACTGGTGGTACGGAAAACTTTTGATTCTGTGGTATTGGTGGTAATGATTTTCTTCTTAATTTATGTAGAACAGATTCTAATAAATAAAAATTAGAAGGTGAAATTACATTACAGGAAGAGAACTAATGTATATACCTGTTTGAGCCGGAAGAGGCATCATTTGTTTTTCTTCTACTGATAGATTTGCTTACCTATATTCTTCTTCAAGTATGATTTTGATTGATATACATTCATCAAGAACACGATGTTTAATTTTGTTTAATATATCACGTTTTCGAGTTTAACGTGAATCAGATGGATGACAATTGAATATGCCGTTCCATTGACTAAATTGTCCTGTTTGTTTCGAGATATGCATAGCAGCTTTGCAATTCTCATTTCTTCGAGTACACCGCCAACCCGTTGTTTCTTTTGCCATACTCATATAACGATAAGCAAAGCCGTTCATGTAAATCATTTTTCCATCTCATGTTGATGTACCCGTTGTTATTTCTCCTTTGATGACGGGTACATTCATAAGATGATTTGAATCTCCTTCGAATAATTCATTTTCATCGTTGTTTGATGATTCTAATGATATGATAGCATCATTATCATCATTCTTTGTTGGTGATGTTGTTGGAGAAACTGGAATCGTTATTGGTGATGAAGATGCTGCTTCAACTGTTGCATCGTCTTTTTTTAATATCACATCTTCATGGGGTTGTTCATGAATACCTTCAGGTGTAAGTACAGCATATAAAGTTGTTGACTGTAGTTGAAGTGGAGGACATATTTGAGATTCAGCACAAGATATAATCTGTTGTACTTGATCTTGTTTACACTTTCGCTTTGATGAACATTTACGAGTTGTTTTTGCCAGTTGATGTTGAAGTTGGTGTTGCTCGATCTTGTGAATGAATTAAATCTGCATTAGCTTGCGATCTTAATGCTGCTGCACGAGTAGTAACAGGCATTTGATGAACAATAGCTGTCTGAAAGGCTCGAAATCACATCATATATACTATACTTTTTACCAATGTATTGATATGAACAGATGTTCCATGTGTTATACTTCATACTTGTTAACACACAAATGATATTAGACTTATTTTGAATAAATCTAAAACTACAAATAAAAATTTTGATCATGTCATTTCCAACAATTTTCTTAGCATATATTTGTTACTGATCTCTCCGATCAATATCACTACCATTTTTCAATCGCAAAATATTTGAAGGATTTACCGGCGCAAGTCTAGTGGAAATTCGCCAATTGGCCAATGTGAGGACTGTAAACTGGCGAAAAATCAATGGAGACACGTTCCGATAACCCTTTTTCAATAGAGGTGGATGAACTACACGTCAACGTTTTATGGTTTAGTGAAGCAACACGATATAGAACATTTACACTTTGACCACATGCACCTTATCGATAGATTTAACCACTATGTTAAATTTTATTTGAGATTTTATATAAGAATCAAGGACGAATCTATAATTATTGATCGCATGAAATTATGCTTTCGAAGAGAGTTTATTTGAATTTTTGGCAATTTAAAAGAGATCTAAACATTTTCGAAGTAACCTTTACTATGTCTCTAAGAAGCACGATTTCCTATTTATCGATAAATAACTGATAGTTTTATAAGAATAAAATCGTATATTAATCAATCGACTGAGATTTTCGAGTCACGGTTGAATAATGAAGGGCATCACTCTTGTTGTAAGTCAAGACTATTTTAGTGTCCAATTTTCAAGTTTAGCGATTGAAATGTTAATATAATGTTTGAGATAGATGTTTTTATATGAGTAAGAGTAGTCTATCAGTTTCAATCCTCTCCACGACTAGATTTGGAAACGTTTATCTATATGATCGTTATTCGGAATCGATCAATTTATTTAAACTACTAATTCATCTAAACAAGTCCAGAATAGATGAATATTTCTAATTTTTTTTTTGTTTTTTTCTATTTTCAAATAAAATCGAACTGTGAGATTGTTCCTATCAATCTCAAGAAAACGTTTTCACATACATATTTATATTAGTTTCATTATAATTCAACAAAACTTATTGATTAATATACAATATTAGAAAATTATTTATTAGGAACAAATATTTTCAATTTTACAAAAGAAAAAAAAACGTAAAAAACAGAAGTTTATGTCGACGTCGAACCTGTTTGGGCTCAGTCTGTCACACTACCTACATGCCGAAACAGTCATAAAAGAAATTTTAGTAAAAGTAATACATAACGATTATTTATTTCGGAGCAAAAATTAAGATTAAATCTGAGCTACTCAAGCACCTTACATATCTATTTATATCTAATCGGCATTTAAGTTTGACCAAGAGTTTACCATACTTTAACTATTCAACATAAATAATTTCATTGATTATTATTATATTTTAAATCAGTCAACTTTTTATTTCTATTTCAAAAAACGGAAACTATGAATAAACCTCATTTTTATTATTCATCATTAAAATATAATCATCATCGTCCATTATCTTTTTCTTCTACTCTAACAGTTGTTTGTTGAAAACCATCTGATCCGTTCTATGAGAGAATATTGACGTCATTATCCTCATCATCCATTTATAAAAAGTCATTTTACTGAATATGTTCCTTTACTTCGAACATATTCAATTCAACCCGGAAAGAAAATATTTTCAAATGAACATATTTTATTATTTATAAATGTCGGATTGGATAATACCTTGAATTTATAGAAGAAATTTAATACATATAAAAACAATAATATTATTAGAATATCTTATTCAACAATTAACAATAGAAAATAATTCTTTAGATATATTATTATAAAACATATAGAAGATTTTTATAATTTAACATAAAAATCTTATTTTTATTTTAAATTTAATCTGCTTTCTATTAACAATTTATCCATTAAGAATAACATATTATAATGAAAATTTTTTAATATTTTTTATAATTAAATTAAACAAATAAATCTATATTAATAACAACAAGAATAAATGAATAAATTAAAAAAAATAATATATATAATTATTAAATTAAATATTTAAATTTAATTAATATACCTAAGAGAACCTTTTGTTATATAAATAAACTAAAATAAAATGATTTAATATATAGTTATTATATATAATATTAACAAATTATATTATATTATCATTTTATAAATAAAATTCAATTTTATTACAAGTAACGCGTCGGCTCTATGAGCCTCGCTTAGCTCACTCCTGAAAGCTCGAAAACATATCATGCGACATAGGCTCGTACATCGCTAAACACATTCATAAGTGAGATTGAAATATTGCCAAAGAAACTTCTTCCATGACCAGAATCATCAGGATATATTGAAATCTATTTATATTCAGATAATGTATTGCTCGTCATTCTTCTGTATGTAAAATATGTCTGTTTATCCTACGCTTGGAACATGTGTCATTGTCCAGTTCAAAGAGTCCAACTACTGTATCCTGTCGCATTCGATCGGATTCAATATCGGATTATGTCAAAAATGGTCTGATTTCGACTTCTTTCGGTCGGATCCTGCTGGATTGATTTAGAAATTAAGTGATCCGGAATCCATCGAATATTTAGTTACCCAGGTCAAGCAACCAGACGGTAAAATGTTACATGATCGTACCTCCGATCTTGTATGATCCTGTAATGTCATACGGAAATCGTACAAAAATCGTGGTCCCAGAAATCTTACATCAAGTCGCACCTTGAGGCTCTTGAAAGCTCTTGCTGTTCTGTAGGAAATTCCACAAAGATTATAGAAAATCTTCTCCCACGGTAAGATCTTACAAGAATCTTAAAGTGCAATTTGATGTAAGATATCTGAGACCACAATTTTTTGCAAAATTTCACCGAATCTTATAAGACCTAATATCTGATTTTATAACCTACGTAGGGAAGGATATTATTGGATCCGA